AGCATGCTAATTAACAAAATCAGAAACAAAAAGGGGAATATAACAACGGACACCGAGGAAATCCATACTTTGAATCCGAGGTCATACTTTGAAAACCTGCACTCCACAAAATTGGAAAATCTAAAGGAAATGAACAATTTTCTTGATAGATATCACTTACAAAATTAAACCCAGAACAGATAAGCAGTTTAAATCGACCTATTTCACCTAATGAAATAGAAGCAGTCATCAAAAGCCTCCCAACCAAAAAAAGCCCAGGGCCAGATGGCTTCACTGCAGAATTCTACCAGAAATTCAAACAAGAGCTAATTCCAGTACTCCTCAAACTGTTTTGCACAATAGAAGCAGATGGGATATTGCCAAACTCTTTCTACGAGGCTACAATCACTTTGATACCCAAGCCACACAGAGATTGGAGATTTTTACTGTTGAGCCTAAATATGCAACAAATCCAGAAGACAGAAATAAGGTCACAACAGTAAGATGGGGTATGCACGTGGAGAAAATTTTAAATCTCCCTTGTATAGAAGGAATTCTTAGGATAATAGTGAAAATATGAACATAGGAAATAACCATCAATGTAAAACATATGAAAGCAAAACAACTACTAGTAATGATAAACACAAATCCTAGAATTTGGTCTCTAAAACAAGCAAATCTGAGAAGTGATATCACAGAAGAATTGATGCACTACATTTGGACCACAGAACTAGACAGCGATTGTTACTGTGGCATGGAGGGACCCATAGATACACCCACTGAGCCATGCTGCCACCACCATCTCAACACAGGCACCTCTATTCATGATGGCCTAATAGTGTAGAGGGAAGCAAATGGCAGCATAGCGGTCATAGGACATCACCAAAAGCAAGGCAAACTCTGTCCCTGCCAAAAATATAACAAAGAAAACCTGTAAAACACATCCCAGGAAGGAGATAGAATGTGTGTTCATCACAGAGTTCGTGATGGGTTTGGGAACCGTGACAGAAATATAACATATCAATCAGGGGCAAATTCTTCAGAAAGAAATGCATAGGGGTTTGGAGATGCTGTTCTACAGTGATGAGGGCAATAATGAGGAAGTTTCCCACTAGTGCTCCTAAGGTAAGTCAAGAAGAAAAGTGTGGTACACAGGGTCTGTAGCACTTGCCCATCTGGGTATCCCATGAGTAGGAATTCCATGTAATCTGTTATGTTGTTTAGCATCTCAGTCATTGTAAGTCTTGTCTGCAGAAATAAAGGAGAAGTTATTATTGCTTCATTTACTTATATCTCCCTCTTTAAATTTTGTGAGATTTTTTTACTTAAGTAATTGCTGATTTGTTTTATTTTGTTCTTGTTGATGTTTTGTGATATCATATTATAGGGTGAATGACATCCTGCAATCTGGAAAGCTATCAATTACATAAAATAAGTTTTTAAAAAGGTATTCAAATGATATCATGAATTTTATGTAGCAAATAGAAATACTCTAACTGGTCTATGACTTTAATAAAATGTTTAAAGTAGTAGGATTTTCAACATAAAAAGTTCAATGTTACCATACTTACTCATCTGATTTCCTTCCCAGTAAAATAAGATGAAAGGTCATGTGAAAAATGCAACCACTTCTTTATTTTTCTCTACTGCATTATAGTACAGATAAGCCAGAAAACATACGTGAGCACAGGAAAGATTCTTTTTGCAAAATTAATGTAGGACAATAACAGGAGTGGAGAGGGAAGTACGTGAGAGGGTAATGGGGTGAATGTGGCCAAATAAAAATGATATACATCTAGGAATGTCCTAAAAATATCACTACTTTCTGAATCAAAAGAAAGAGATATAATTGTTATCTAAACATGTTAAATATGCTAACACAATTTTTCAATAATGCTTATAATTCTTTTAATTTGATAAAAATAAAATTTTCCATAGTAAAGAAATTTAAAACCCTCATAATTAAAGTGGGAAGGTAAAAGTGGGTAGTAATATCCAGAAACACTGTACAAATAAATAAACCAGTCAGAAAAAATGAGTTTATTACTTGTAAGCACACTGTTAGTTATCATGGGAAATAATGACATGACAACAAAGCAATGGGGAGGATGTATATAGATTCTCCACAATGAAAGTTCTTCACCTATAATCTATAGACACCAAATATTTCCTTAAAATAAAGGTTACCCTAAAATTTCTTCAAATGAACAAAAGCTGAGGATATCTATGAGGAGCTATGATAGTTAATATTCATTTTCAACAGGATCTATAATCACCCATGAGCCTCTGTGGCATGCCTGTGAGTGATTTTCTACATTTGGCCAAGTGAAATGAGAAGGCCCACCCTGAACGTAAAGACAGCACCATTTGATGCCCATAGGTTTCTACTGTATAAAGAAAGCTAGTAGAATATCAACATTAATCACCCATTCCTTCCTGCCTGCAGAAGTAATGTCAATAGTTGCTTCCTCAAGTTCCAGCTACCATCAGTTCTTTTCATGTTGGACTTCAGACTTTAAACTATGAACTCAAGTAAACATTTTTACCCTAAAGTTGATTTTGCCAGGGTATTTTATCATAGCAAAATGAGAAAAGTAACTAATACATATTTTTTCTTTAATATTAGAAACCACATTCTTCAAACATATTTAAAGACTAAAAGTGGATATTAGGGTTATACATAAAATTGAAGTCAACAAGAAGGCAACACATATGGCAAATAAAACGTCCTTCAGATTTGCTATGTAATATTAAAATTTTTTACAAGAATTAATTAAAAGTATTCTGTATCAATATCTAAGAAAATTGGCATGTGTGAAAATGATTTTAAAATGTTAATACATAGTACTATAATGAAATGTGTTTTATGTTATGTAAAATGACATATCATTGAATGTAGTCTGTGACATGCTATAGTCATATAGCAAATCATGAAATCATCAGATAAAATTAAAGTTTGTAAGAAAATTGTACAGTTAAAATGAAATAGGAATATTTAATTTATATAAAAGAAGGATAAAGCCTGGTGCACACCTCTAATCCCAGCACACAGGAGGCAGAGGCAGGCAGATCTCTGTGAGATCAAAACCAGCCTAGTCTACAAAGCTAATTCCAGGACAGCCTCCAAAGCCACAGAGAAACTTTGCCTCAACCCCTCCCCCCACCAAAAAAAGAAAGATAAAATAAGGGCTATTGAAGGACACATCAAACAGAAAACAAAATGAGGAATTCTAGATTTCGGTTCAAACACGTAAATACATCAAAATAAATGCACTAAATAGCATTTCATTGTGTATACACTGCATTTTAACCATCTATTGATCCTTTGATGGACAATTAGTTTAATATCTTAACTATTACATGTAGTTATATAGTATACTTGCAAATGTAGATGTCTCTATATCATATTGATTTAAGGTCCTTATGATGTGTGAATGTATGTGTGTGTATACATTGTATCACCCACCATACATACGAATTTCAAATACTTTCCATCAAATTAAAAAAAATCTGTTTATATATCAGGAAAAATGCTGCAAATCTTTAATAATATGTAAACTATAAGATTTTTTTGGTTTTTTTAGACAGGGTTTCTCTGTATTGCTTTGGTGGCTGTCCTGGAAATAGCTCTGTAGACCAGGGTGGCCTCAAACTCACAGTGATCTGCCTTCCTCTGCCTCTGTGCTAGAATTAAAGGTGTGTGTCACCAACACACAGCGACTATTAGATTGTTAGTTTAATAATCTAATAATCTGAAGTAGAAATAAGAACAATACTTACTTGAGATTCAGTTTTGGAAGGAATGGAAGGACATTGTTTCAAGTGTACAAAGTTGCAGTTGAACAGGTGGAACAAATTTATATTTTGATATTTATGGATATATTGATTAGCCTTATTTACTAATTCCATATGAATACATATATTACAAAAAGTAATATGTACTCAAGTTATATGTGATTATACATTGTATAAATACTTAAATCCAAAATGAATGAATAAATAAAGAATAACTGAACACTCTAACAAAAAGATCAAAATTATCAAACTTTATAAAAATAAGACCTTATTGGGTTCTAAGACAAATGCCATAAATGGATGAGTAAGTAGAAAACTAATATAACAATAATAATATAACAAATGTTATCAAACAAGAGAACAAATTGAAAAAAAGAAAACAGTTCACAATTCAAGGTTGAGACAAAATTTGAAAACAAAAAAAACCTGGAGTCAGGATTGTACCTATAAATACAATTAGAAATTGATAGAATAATCAAAAATGTAAGTAAATGCATTAGGCTTAAATATTATAAACAAGCGTTACAAGTTATACATAGAGACTACTACACACATTTATTTCTTTGGATGCCTATGTGGATTGCTAATGAATATAGACAAGTTAATAAACCACAAAGAAAAACTATTTAGAAGAATCTCAAACCATACAATCATATTTTAGTTAAATTAAGAATCAGTATAACTATATGAAAATTATAAGATATTAAAAATTAAGAATTTTGACCTAAGTAATTCAGAGATGACTGGCATTCTCAAAAACAGTCACAGATAATTTGAAATAAATTAAATGGAAATGAACAAGGATTTTTGTCTAATCTCTCTAACAAAAACCATTATCACATGTAATTTTATTGTTCCAGAATTTATATTACAAAAGAAAAATTGTCAAAATTTAATTTTCAGAATGAAATGTGCATTTTATTTTTTAAAAATGATTCCTCTGGTGGTTTCTTTTTTGTTTTGTTTTGTTTTTTTTGTTTGTTTGTTTTTTCCATGTTTATTATTTTTAATATTTTATTAGTTGAAATTAGGAACAATTTCCTCTGGTGGTTTCTTTTTTGTTTTGTTTTGTTTTTTTTGTTTGTTTGGTTTTTCCATGTTTATTATTTTTAATATTTTATTAGTTGAAACTAGGAACAAGGTTGCTTCCGATGTCAATCCCTTCTCCCTCTCCCTCCTCTCCCCTCCCCCCAACACCCACTTGCCCCTAGCCATCCCCTCTCCACTCCCCAGGCAGGGTAATTTCCGATGTCAATCCCTTCTCCCTCTCCCTCCTCTCCCCTCCCCCCAACATCCCACTTGCCCCTAGCCATCCCCTCTCCACTCCCAAGGCAGGGTAAGGCCCTCAAAAAGGGCTCCCCAAAGTCTACCACA